GAGTGTTAATTTGTTGAGCAATTTTGTAAATTGTGCTTCCTTCGATTCCATGAATCTAGGTGGCACCATGGTCAATCCGTTAGCCGCAGAACTCCGGCGAGTTAATCCGGCTATCAATCCTGCCTTTGCCCTCCGCTAATTGAAAAGTGGCGTAGATTTTGTGTAACCCTTGTTGGCAGTTATGTCCATTTTGGCACCCCGTATCACGATTCTGGGCATTTTGGTGGCCGTTTTTCTTCTATTTTTTGGTGAGCTTAATTTTATAAAATTCGGTGTCAAAAAATGTCATTTTTCTTTACAATAGGACGTTTTCACAATGCACGAGAGCAATCGATGATTGGGATAATTTAATGAATAACCTTTGAAGGATTGAAGGTAGGAATAGTGTAAATAAGGCGATTGATGCTATGAATTTTTTATTTTTTGGGAGGATTTTGATGGTGTATGAAACAATATAAAAATCAAAATTTGGAAATTAAACTGTTTGATTGACCAAGAGTTAATTTTTGTGTCAAATATGGTTAGAAATATATGGAGGTCTGATTTCCAACCAAAGAAAATAGTTTACCAAATAAAGGCATGAGAAATAAGTAATGATCAGTTTTCTAGAGTCTGTCAATTGCACTCAGGAAATTTGACAGGTTTATGTTTTTTGATATTTCTAAGAATTTTACTTATTTTATCAGTCAAAACTCCTATATAAACACTATCAATGAATAAAATTAGAACTAAGTGTTTAATTTAAAAATATTTTGCAAGATTCATCTCAAGCGTACTTGGTCGCAACTTGATAATATTTGGGGTGATCGAGAAGAAGCAGCTTTCCTTTCCATTTTCTCCTTATATATAAAAGAAAGAAACGCTATGACAATCTAAGAAATTTTAATGATATATTTGTTATAAGAAAAATAATAAAAAAAAGGTTAAGGTATATCTAAGAAATTTTAATGATATATTTGTTATAAAATAAAAAATAAAAAAAAAAGGTTAAGGTATATCTATATCTCCTATGCAGTCACTTTTTTCTAATTACTTTCAAATCAAATCTCCATTATCTCTATATCTCTTTAATTGTTATTACTTATTATTATTTGTATCTCTCTTTTTCCAGTCTTTTTTGTCTAATTCTTGTTTACTTATATCAAAAGGCGAAATTCCTCGCCCCATAGTAACTCAACGGCTCGTTAAGGTAGTGGACCCGGACCTGGTGTCCACAAGAAATCAACCCTCATTGGAGTTTGCTGCCAGGATTCGATCCTAGGACCTTGTACCAACTTACCACATCCGGAACCAGTTGAGCTACACTCATACGGGCTAATTCTTCTTTGCTTCATTTATTTAATATGATCAATTTCATATTATGACAATTAAGTTGATATATTTTTTTTCTGAATGAGTTTGTATTATTAAATTTGTTGAAATGTTAATGTTTATACGGACATCACTAATAAATTTTAGAGTGATGAGATTTCCACCTCGAAATTATCTTTATTCACCACCAAATTATATAAAATATCTTAAATGCCCTTCAAATTTCTAATTCACCACCATTTCTTATATTCGCTTAATTCTCATTTATTCTAAGTTCTTTTTCTTCTTTTTTTTTTCAATGAAACCTATATTGTAAAACAAAATTCTAACAATAGTCCAACTTAAATCAGTTTCTGGGCAGATTGTGCTGAGTGAAAAGTAACATGTCTTTCAAATTTTAATCCACCGAAAATCTCTGTTTTTTTTTTTCTTTTTCTACATGAGCGCTTTTAATTTATTTTTTCAAGAACTTGAATTCCTGTTCTTTTTGACCTTCGGGTGTTTTATCTCTGACGAAAGTATCCTTCACTTAAGGTGGAGGGTGGGATTATGCGGTAAATATTCTCGTGGAAAATGGTAGGTCTTTTTTTTAATATTCTAATTAGTTTAGTGGTGGACAATAAATGAATTTATATACATAATGTGGGTAAAAGAGAAAAAATATGGGTAAAATAGGAAATAAATCTAATTTGGTGGTGAAAAAAGTTATTTTGAGGGTGGAAATAGCACGTCTCAAATTTTATTATAATTGTCAATATCATATATTAAACTAATCATTATTTTTTATTTTTGAATGCATCGCACGGAAAAAATGCTAGTAAAATGTAAATAAAGAAATTGCAGAATATAAAATAAAAATAATTAAAAAAAAAATTCTAATATTACGATATATGTTTAGATCTTGTTCATATTTTCTTTTTCATTTTTAATAATTACAAAATGAAGAAATAAATAATATTTATTAAATTAAATATAATTATGTTATAAATAATCATATTTATAAATAATTGAAGAAAAGCCCCTAGGGCAATTTTGTCAATCTTTATATATAAAAGAAAGGTTTTGCCCCGAAACCCTAATCCCATTTTTGTGAAAAAATTGTCACCCTAGGGGCATTTTTGTCCGTTCACTTTGGAAGTTATTTTTTTTTTTTTTTTTTTGTTTTTCTTTCGCCGTTTTTAACGTAGAAATCTGAACACACAGTTAATAACCTAACTTCCCACGTTCTCTGCAATCAATCGATTGAAAAAAACCGTATCTGCAAAACTTCCCACGTTGTGTTGAAAGCTTGATGACACGTTGTTTTGTTCCTACACGTTCAAATAACTTCTCCTCATAACTGCTCCACTCTCATTCCTTAAATACGTCGTTTCCCTGCATTCGATTAATTCTCTTCTAAAAAAACGCCTATAGACGCAAATCTAAGTTTGACAGCAAGAAAAAACCACCCGCCATGTCAGTAAATTATCTCTCTCTCTCTCTATATATATCTATCTATCTATGAATTTAGTGTGCTTTGATAGTAGACGAGAGGTTTTTCTCTTTTGTTTGTTTTGTTTTAGTAGGATGGTGGATTTTGTCGTAGGATATATACCGGTGATAAACATCCATGTTTTTCTTTCCATATTTTTTTCACCCTCCTTTCCAGTTGCATTTGATTTTTCAATCTTTCGAATTAATTTGGTAAGTTCTCTCTGTTGTGAATATCCCTCTTCGAAATAATTACTTTAATTATGAGGAACTTTTGAATTTATTTGAGTTGAAAACAAGTTCTAACGGTCACTTTATTTGTTCAAGTTATGCCACATGGTGACGGGAAGAACTTATTCACGTTAATTCATTATTCTAATTAATCGATGCAAGCCTAAACAAATATCGACTGTCAATTTGATTGTTAATTCGTTACCGAAGGATCAAAAGGACTTCTCTATTGTACAACTATTGAAACCATGCACTTCTCTTGCTGCAAAAACTTGACTACAGTGTGATGTCCACATGGTATTAGTTTATTAGTTTATGTTTATTATTTCTAAAGTCGATTTATTTATTTTGATAGTTGTACTATTGTTTGTTGTTTCTGTTTGTGCTCCAAGTATCAATTCTGTTTGTTGATTCTTTAAGAAACCTGTATTTTTTCTAGGTTTCTCAGTTAAATCTCTTAATATCTTTATTGCTAAAGTTGTATGAATTGTTGTTACCTTTTGTGTTTCATTTTTTAAACCAATTGTTTCTTTTGGCATAACATCTGAGTTTTTTGCTAAAATATCTGAATTTCTTTATTTCAATAGTTGTCAGAATAGTTTTGTTTTTTTAATTCCTTCTAAAATCATAGTTGTGCTAATGCTAAATTACTTCTGTTTATGCTCCATTTCTTAAGTCGTATTTTGCTTTTGCTAGAATTCTGTCTTTTGCTAACTTTCTCGATTAAATATCTGATTTTATTTATTTCGATGGATGTATTGATATTTGTTGTTTCTATTTTTTTTATAAGACTACGGAAGAATCTTTCTTTTTGTTACTATTTAATATTTAACAAAACAAATATTTTGTTTTCATTGTTTATTAATAAGCAAAATCCCAACACGACTTCTGCAAAATTTATGTAATTACATGTGTATAAGCAAAGTCACAAAAGAAAGAGGACTATGAATTCCACTTGAAGCATTTTCATAGCTTTTTCGAAGAGAGAAGGATAATATTGATATTTTGGAAATTTGACAATACCTTTAATTTAATTTATGTATTTTCACATCAGTTATTATTGTTCTAATTTCTGTACTTTTTATTTGATAATTTCTCCATATATTTCACATAAGTTGTCCTTTAAAGTTTTCCTGTCTGATTTGCTTTGAGCTATTTTTAATGCAATAGTTTGCTTCTCCTTTATAATAACGTGTGACATACTTGAATGTTTGTGTTCTGATTTAAATGGCTAGGAGTTGGGGTAATGAAGAAGACGTTTTTCATTATATATATATATATATATATATATATATATATATATATATATATATATATATATATATATATATATATATATAAACTTAACATTACTTTTATTTATTCTTTAGGATTTCATATGTGATAATGATGCCACAATTTCTTTACGAAAATCATTGAAGAAACGAACTGGTGATCGTGTTGATATCTACAATATGTCAGGTGATCGTGTTGATATCTACAATATGTCAGGTGATGGAGCAATTCAAGTTTCCAACTTTGAAGAGTATATGTATCTACAAGTTTTCGTTTATATAGTTTGTTAAGTTATTTGTTATTGTATTTTTCTATAAGTTATTTGTTATTTTCTATAATTTTCCGCTCGATAATTTATTTTTAAACATGTAAAAGTTTGATCTATGTTTGTTCAAACATTGTCCTACAGTACACAAACGTGACGCGTGCTATTTTTTCCAATAGTAACTTTGGCATTTACTAATGTTATATATTCAATATGCCCGTTTTTTCATGTCGTATATTTAAACTACTTTATTATTTACTTTTGTAAAATATCCACCGTGCAACGCACGGGGTAAGATACTAGTTTAACCCTAAAATCACAAAGGATGCATTGAACTTCAGAAAAGTTTATACTGGCTGGAGGTATTTGGCAATTCAATATTTCACAAGGTACTATATTGCAATTAACTCTATAAATAAGCAAGTATAGAGTATAAAAACTAAGCACTAGAAGCAAATACCAATATAAATTTCCACCACATTAATAGAAAATTCTCATTCATTTATTAAGAGGCTCAAATCAAGAAAGGTTGAGAACAAACTCAACCCTCACAAACAAGCCTTAAAAAGCAAATAATAAAAATCCACAAGACTTTACCTAAAGAAAAAACAATCCCAAATCATTCTACTTAAAATTACAATCCTTCCTTCGAAAATCGAATAAAAATAGCATCATAATCGCTAATAATAATTGCATTGAAAAAAACATGCTCATTGCTTTCCAAGAATGGTGGTCTCCGCAATCATGGAAGTGACAATGTACGGGTCCATGTTCGAAGCCGGCCTTCTGTCCTCAAAGTATCCCTTTCCTTCTTTCTCCGTGTCTCTACCCACGCGAATCGACGCACCTCGGTTTGCAACTCCCTACGAAAAAATAAAAAAATTGCTAAGGCCTTGTTTGGTTACAAAACGAAATTATTCAAGATTTTATATTTGCATAGAGCCCAATTGATAGATCGGATATATAAGCCAGGATGAGAGGTAATTTTGCGCGCAAAGGAAAAAAAGATAAATAATTTTGTCCTAATTTACCCATTTGAAGGTGTTGATGTCGGCGGTTTCGTGCTTTCCGGTGAGACGGCGTTCATTGCCCTCTCCATAGGCGGCAATGTGTTCTTTGTGCCTCAGACTGAGCTTTTCGATAGCCTTCAAAATTATTTCATAGCCTCCATCTTCCCTCATAGATTTGGTGCTGAAAATAGGATAATTATAAAATGAGATTTAATTACATAATTCCACCGTAAAATTAATAAAAAACATATATAGGAATTTTAAAAAATTACCTGTAATTAGTGTGAGCACCGGCTCCATTCCAGTCACCCTAGTGGTAAAAAAAATTACATGAATTAGAAACAAAAAAAACGACAGATCAAAACAAACAATTTTCAACAATAAAAATGAAATTTACTTTGTCTACGAACTTGGCTAAAATCAGACGGAAATATTTACCTCGATAGGCTTTGGGTCAAATGATAGCACAACCCCAGCAATTTCAGTGATCCTCTGCCAAATAAAAAGAATTACGTCAACACAAAATTAAGTGATTTCACATAATTTCCACTTAAAACAAATCGTGGCGAAAAAATTATTTTACCTCCAATATGTATCGAGCAATCCAAACCTCGTCACCAGCTGAGATTCCAACAGCAGGTCCAACTTGAAACTCCCACTGGAAAAATTAATGTAATATTAAATTATTGGAAAGAAAATAATCAATAATAATAAATAAATAAATAAATAAATAATTATAAAAAATAAATCTTGTTCGAGATGAGAAAGTGAAAGGCACCTGTCCAGGCATAACTTCACCGTTAATGCCGCTAATGTTGATTCCAGCATAAATGCAAGCCTTGTAATGAGCATCGACTATATCACGCCCAAAAGCTTTGTCCGCTCCAACTCCACAGTAATACGGGCCCTACACCAAATAGATAAATAAAAAAATATATATAAATAACAGAAAATACTACGATTTAACCTTTGTAATGGCTAATACCTGCGCACTAAAGGTAAAGAAAAAATAGTATATGTATTATACTAAGAATACGAAACACGAGTATATGAAACCACAGTATACATATGATGCAGTTCATAAGGGGTAGTACTAGGGGATAAGGTTGGATGAAAGTTTTATTTTTTTCTCGGAAGTACGAAACGACTTCCAATTCCGATTCCAAAACTTTTGGAATGTCACATAAATTCTAACATTTTTCAGAAATTTGGAAATTTCGGGAATAGTGCGAAACAACGGCTCCTTATGAATGTGTAATAACTACGGGTAAAAAGCATTTGACTCCGCAATATGAAGTACAAGTAATTACTACATTTAATTAATTTTGTAATCGTACAGTAAATAAATAAATAAATAGGTGTACTGTTGAAACAATTCGGAATTTCATTCAGATATTAGAACCGGAATGGAAATCGAAAAGTTCCAATTCCAATTTCAATTTCAATGTTTTGAATCCAAAAAAAAAAATCGAAAGTTTTGAAATCGGAATTTTTGGAAATGGGAACGGAAAAAGTATTTCCAATATTCGAGCATTTCACTCTGGCAAGTACTACAAGAATATCATGAAACTAAGACATACAACGAACTAGTTATAATGTTAACTGAAGAAAGAAAATTAAATGTTAGAATCAACAATACGACTAAATAAATTATATAAAAAAAAAAAAAAAAAAAAAAAAAGCGAGGAAATGTTAATCTTACCTGAGGTCCGGGATAACCTCCCTTTGGCCATCCGACGGGCCACTTAACATCCTTTTGCAATAAAGTGTATTCTTGCTCGATACCATACCTATCAATCAAGAACAACATTTCCAATAATTAAATTGTCTCAACACGAATAATGAATAATAATAATTAATCGATATATCATTTTTAATACCATGGTACTTCAGTCACCACATCGGGGTGGCTGAAAACCTTGGCTGCATTGTGCCTGTTGTTCCCAGGGATCGGCACGCCAGCTGGAGTGTATGCATCACACATAACCTAATAGTACAGAAACCAACAAGTAAGAATTATACATAAATAAACACATACGTATACATATATATACATATTAATAAAAAAATTTACCAAGATGTTGTTGCCTCTTCTGAATGGATCCTTGAAAATGGCTTGAGGGCTGTGTGCATTGATGACATTATTAAGAAGATTAATATTTGAATTATAAAAAAATAAATTAATCGACGAAATACGGAACAACGAACTATAAGCGAGTGCACTTATCACTTACTATAGGATCACTTCACTGTCTTCGCCGGGGGCTTGACCGGTGCTCGAACCATCGTAGTTCCACTTAGGGAGCTGCGAAGGATCGGTAATCGGCCCGGGGAGAGTCTGCATAAACAAATAAATAAATCATTAATATTATTTTAAATTTTAATAAAAAATTAGAAATAATTAAATCCTAAAATAGGTTTTAGTTATTTATACCCTTGCTTTACTCCTGAGATCCATACCGGAGCCGCCGATCCTGCAAATGATTTTCACCACACACGGCGGCGTTTGTTACTTGTAATTTAATCATAGAATTAAACGGTTAAATAAAAACAAACACCGAATAATATTAAACTAAAAAAAATCAAGATCTAATTAAGGTAAGATCTGCAATCAACATCACTTAATAAAGAGGATTAACATTTAAAAAAACGGATTTAAATCTGTAACCACTAAGTATACGAAGATCAAACAGAGTGTAAAAAAAAACAGAGCATATACATATAAACACACACACACACACAATCGAATCAAATCAAACAAAAAAAACACAACGCTGACGAAAACGCATAAATCAAAGCATGCGGTTTGTTCAAAACGAAGTCGTTTCGCCGGAAGAAAAAAAAATTGAGAAACAGAGCAAAATCCATTAGAGAAAAGCGCGTGTGAGAAAACTAACCAGACATATTCAGCAATGATCTTCTCAGTTTCTGAGATGTCGAGGTTGATTAGATCTGAAAGGAGAGACATTTTTTGATTTTTTTTTTTTTATTTTGCAGAAAGGAGTTCTGTTTCTCTCTCTTCCCCTGTATTTCTCTCTCTCTCTAGAAAATGTAGTAGACTGTGAAGCGAGGGTGGTAGGTTTTATAGGAGGTTCTGAATTCTGATATATATAATATTATATATATGACGATTTTTTAATAAAGCGAAATTAAATTAATATTATATTATATTATATTATTATAATAATGTTACCAATTACATTGGAACTAGCATGACGTTTGTTTTCTTCTTGTTCATGTATATTTTTCTTTTTTGTATATCAATTATTGCTGGCTAATTATTATTATTATTAATTATTTATTATTAAAAAAATCTGATTTGCTTTTTAATTTTTATTATGCTAGTCAAGATTGGTATTAAAAGTCTTCATTTCCTATTTTAAAGGCCTCCCCCGCCTTTTTCTGGATACGGCGGCGCTGCCGCCGTCTAGCGGCGGTCATCTCAAGGTACGTGGTATTTCTGGAGGGTTTGTCGCCACGCGCCACCCCGAGCGTTTAGGTATTGGGAGAGGGTGAGAGAATCTAATAGTTGGATTCTCGTGATACGCGGAGATTATTTTTCGGGCTCTTTTCTTATTTTTTTTTTTAATTTTTAATTTTTGCATGCTATGTGGAGAAAGTCTTGGAGAAAGATATGTGCATATCTGCAAAATTCAAAAAAGTAAAAAGATGTAATCCGCATTTATAGTTTATACACTTTCAAATTACTTTTTTATTTTATTTATTTTGATTGTAAAAGCACAACTTTTTTGTAGATTAGTTCAAACATAAATGTATTTAAATGTATCATATTCTTTCGGGGTGATATAGTTATCTAGATTAGACAAATTCAGATTAGATGAGATTGGATGGAATCAATTCTCTACTGACTAATTAATTATTTAGTTACTATGATGTGTTATGTATTTTCATTTAATTTGAGTGTGTAGGGTGTTCTTGTTTTGTGCTCTTTCGTTTCGAAATAATTCTCTTTTTTGTTTCTTTATTTTTTTTATTGGTGTGGTGCACTAAAACAATTGATGCATACGAGTGGATTTTTGAGATATGCATAAAACATAATAAAATTACTCATATCATTAAAAAAATCTACTAATTGACTATTAAGTAAATAGAATTAATACGAGGAAATGTGAGAAAAGTGCAATTAATGCATTATTGAAATTCTAAACCGACAAATTATATAGAACAAAAAAATAATTCATCAAAACGACAAAGCGGCAGCTATTTGAAAAATATGGAATAATTGTTATTTGTAGCTCCAACTTAATAATAATAATAAATAAACATATATTATGAATTCTCAATTATAAACATATATAACATGTATTTCTCCTAATGAAAAAGAAGAGGTAAGTGGGAATAAATCAATTTTGATGAAGTTAATAATAGTAAACATTTCTTAGATAGGAAATTAATATTATAATAGTGAAGAATATGAGGTTCATACTTTCACATGGGACTAAAAATTGGTGAAATTGTACCAAACCTATTACCATGTGCTATTAGTGGGAACCACGTGTTGTTTTCCAATTTAAGAGTTTCAATTATTATTACTTGTTAAGAGCATTAAGTATTTCATTATAATTAAAGTTTGTTAGCACAAAAATGGCATATATTTTAGAAATAGAAGAAGACTACTTCCCTCAATTTGTAAATTTTAGAGTATGCAAAACTAGGCCTAGTGAACAAAATTAATATTTATTATTTAGCGCAAATAGCATTTAACCCTCATGTGGTTTAAGCTTTGCATAAATGACATTCTTATACTTTTAATATAAGCGTGTGATATTCCTGTAGTTTGAACTCTGTGCACATGACCTTTTGTACTCTTGATATAAGTATATAATAACCTATGATATTTCACTTAGTAAACAATCATGCTCATTATGAAGAGAATTTTTTTTAAAGTAGAAGGACGTTGTGTGTTACATTGAAAGTATAAGGGGGCCATGTCATTAAGTTTATACCACAGGGGGTTAAGTGTTATTTATCCTATTATTTAAGAATAGTAAAAATTACTTTCAAGTTCGAATTGTAAAATGGGGGTTCGTATTATCCGGTAAAAATTTATTGACAAACTATTTTATATACAGCAGTCACTTTACAGGTGGGATTGATCGATCAAATAATAACAATATTTTATATTGTTTTCATTGTTTTTACAAAGGCTCCAAACATACAAGAATGGGAAACTCCCATTCGGTGTTTTGAAAATTAACGTGGATGCATCGTTTCTGGTGAGTCGAGACTTTTTCCGTACATCGCTTGTGGTGAGAAATGATAGAGCTGAATGTGTGTGGTGGCAAGTTAGGAAGTGTTGGGAAAATTGGTTAAAAATTGAGTCATGAACAATTTTTTATCAATGTTATTGTACGGTCTAATTGAGTATATAAATGAATTTTGGATTAGAACCAATTTTGTGGTGAATGAAAAAATTACTAGTCCAAAATATAAGGAAAGTGGGATTTGAGTTATCCCACATTGGAAAAGTAGAGAAGTACTGAGCTGTATATATATCAAAATATTGGGACGGGCCAAAAACATTAGATCATGGGCTTTTAACCCATTGGGCCCTTATTACTCGAAGTCCATCTCGATTGGTCTGACTGGTCTGAATTGGTGCGGCCGAACCAATGCAAACCATTCGGCTCAACTCGAAACGGTGCAACCACTCCCAATTGGCTCAACTCGAAATGGTGCAACCATTCAAACAAAAGGTACCTTTTTGCTCCAAAGGATACTACTTTTCGATCCTTATAAATAGACCCTAACTTCCCCAAAATTCCACACTTCAATCTAAAAACAAGCCTACTACATATTAAGCCTACCCTTCACAGATTCTCTCGAAAAGTTCTACACAAAGTACAGTTCGTCGTACTTGGGATTTGGAGTGCTCCTATTCCAAGTTTTGCCGTTGTATCTTGGGAGACGATTTCCATTTAATCCGTTAGCACCGTTGCGGGGAAATTTCGTCTTAAGGACAGAGACAACTCGCCTCGGCAAAATTCTCGTTCATAGCAGATTTCCAACAATTAATTAATTTGTTCAACCAATTTACTAAATTCACTACCCCTTTTATGTATCGGGAACAACAATCTTAAGACGAAATGTTTTTTGATTTAGTAAATTGTGTTTTCTGCACACATTGGTAAACGAGATGGAGAAGAAGATAGTCTGCCAAAAATCAAGAAGTTACAAAATACAATTGGAGAAAGTTTATTTTCGGACAGAACATGAAGTCCACATTCTTGCCCATTTTCGAAGGTGTTAAAGTCCGAATATGGCAAATTAACATTTCACAGAAGTTGTAGATAATCAAGTTAGCTTTCCAGAACATGTTAGATCGTCACAATCGGAGATCGTACGAGGAAGTTATGATGAAAACACCAAAGGGTGGCAGAACTGCCAATGCACCTTTTCATGAAAAATACAACCGTTCGTGACCAATGCAACTCGTCGCATATTAACGCATCACCAATGTCCAATGCACGAAATTTTGGTGCAAATTTACAGCACACCTATTCCGACTTCGAGGCTTATTTTGATCATGATCCAGTCCGAATCTCAGAAAACGTAAAAGATAAAAGTTGTAGAAAAGTTTGTTGGCTGTTCGGATCATATTGAATCAACAAAATCGGACTTGGGACGGAAGAGATATGAATAAATCATTCAGCACTGCCATAATATTGACACGATTTGGTGCTACCCACAAAATCTTGAATTGACGAACATATAATTTATCGGGTACGCTTTTTAATTATAAGATATCTATTTGTGAAATATATTGATAATGCTATATGATATAATGGTGGATTATTGCATGATAGTTTAATTTCTATGTGGAAGCATATATATATATATATATATATATATATGCTTAATGAATATTCATTATGTTTGTGTATGTACACTAATAATAGAAATATTTTTATCCTAAATGCAATAAAGTGATAGCATATATGTTAATTACTTGAATAAGTGTATTATGAACATCATGATATGTGCTATACTACATGACATTTCTTATGAAAATGCATATTTATTTGCATAAATTGCATATAGTTTTGATAGGGGATTAGCTTTCTCCCAATTTTCATTTGATGTGGAACCATTCAGTTGATAGATTTTCGAATATGTTATATGAAATTCGTGAGTACGTGATCTTATTAACGTTTTTAATATTATCTATGAACGATTAGACTTGTCTCGTATATTAAGTATAAGTTACTTAGTAAGAGGAATATTAGTATACATCTTATTATTTGCGTAAACCATACTAATTCATCATAATTGTGTTATTGCATGGACAAGCATTGATTACGTGCTATAAAATTTATATCAATTCATTATGTTGGACATGAACTAATTTATGGCATGAAATATTATGTTCAAACTTGATGTTATTATATACTCGTGTGTATACTATATGTTGATATAATATGCTTGATATATTGTTTCTTTCTATGATCAACTAGTATGAACGTCGTGCTCACATGTCATATATTATGTTTATTATAATATTTATGTACATATGTTTTATATATGAATCATACTATTGTTTAATTAAAAGCGTGATTGAAAGAGAAGCTCAATTCATGAGAGCACATGAGTAGTTCTTGTCTCAAGAACATAAGAGAAGATCGAATCGTTGGTTCAATTTGATATCACATTTACAATGTGATGATCTACAATGTGAATGGATGAGATCGGATTTTGATTTCCAAACATCCGAAATAATTGCAAACAACAATGAATGCTTTGTTGAAAAAAAAATTCGAGCAATTTGCTTAAGAGCTTGCTTTGTAGAATTGAATCGTTGGATTTGGCTGAATTTTGAACGGCATGTTTAGGACATACAATCCTAAATTATGAACGATTAAGATTAGAATTTGTATATTCTAACATTAATATTGAATAGTGGAGATCAACTACCATTTGAAGAGATTAATAGTTTCTTGTTTATTAACAAGATTTAAGTATCTTGACGGGTTTTCTCTTTTGAGGAAAATGAAGAAATCTTATTTGTTGACAAGATTTAAGTATCTTGAGAAGATTTCTCTTT